TGAAGCATTTACTGATGAGGATTAAAGATTACAGTCTGCAGTATGGATTACATCTCAACATAAATAAAATGAAAATCCTTACAACCAGACCAATTAAGTAGCATTACTATGAATAGAGAAAAGATTGAAGTTGTCAAAGACTTCATATTACTTGGTTCCACAATCAACACCAATGAAAGCAGCAGTCAAGACTTCAGATGATATATTGCACTGGGAAAATCTGCTTCAAAAGAGCTCTTTCAAGTGCTGAAGGGCAAAGATGTCTCCTTGAAGACTAAGGTGTACCTAACTCAAGCCATGGCATTTCAATAACCTCATATACATGTGAGAGCTGGAGAATGAATAATGAAGACCAAAGAAGAGTTGATGCTTTTGAGTTGTGGCACTGGTGAAGAATACTGAAAGTGCCATGGGGTAGCAGAAAACTAACGAATCTGTCCTGGAAGAAGTGCAGCCAGAACGCTCGTTGGAAGTGAGAATGGCCAGACTTCGTCTGAGCTACTTTGGTCATGTTGTCAGAAGGGACCATTCCCTGGAAATGCTTGGTGAAAATGGAGGGTCAACGAAAAAGGAGAAGGCCCTCAATGAGAAGGATTGACACAGTGGCTGCCACGATGGGTTTAGGTATAGCAACGATTGTGAGGCTGGCACAGGACCGGGCAGTGTTTCATTGTGCTGTAGATAGGGTCACTATGAGTCACAGCCAACTTGATGGCACCTAACAACAACTGTTCAGTAATCTACAAGTTGAAGGAAAAATTAAATTGGTATTAGAAAATCAGATCATGAAGTGAAAGATGCAAATCAAAACTTGAAAAAGCTGAAGCAACTTGAAAATTTATAGTCTTCAATGCTCTTACCAGAAGACTTAAAACTCAATGAACTACATACTCAAGTCAAGAAATTAGCAAAAGACCCAAAACAAAATCTTTCAATAGTGGAAAGAAGTAAAGTACAGAAAGAACAGCAACAAAGAGTCCAGAGAACCAACACAATGAAAAGTTGATTTTGGAGGGACAGAACTAGAAACGACAAGGAAATCGACCTGGAAACACTAGTACAAAGAGTTTACAAGAGTCTTGGTCACCTCTCGAGAGGGATTCCTGCCTCACACAACTGCTCAGGAGTTTGGGAGAAGGCTGACCTGGAGCGTGGTACAGGTCTCAAGTACCCACTGAGCATTTACATCTGCATGGACAAGGTTGCAGATGAATGGACAGCTCCGTGGACAGGCAAAGATTCTGTCCACAGGCTGTGCAAGTGACCACAGACCAGGGCCTACACAGGTTAGAAGGTAGTGGTGTAATGGGACCAGAGAAGTAGGTCAGATAAGGGGTGGGTGGGTCATAACAGGTGAGGGGCTCACTCAGGGACTGAGAGTAGAGGGAGAGCAGGCAGGGACCCTCTACCTGTGAGCTATCACAGAGACCAGGGCAGGTCAGCAGAGATGATGGCCTCTTGGGATCTGTTTCAAGGGCTCTGGGGCCTGGCCACCATGGGCTATTTGTGAGAGGGAGTGGGGGTTGGGATGCAGGTGAAAGAGGAGGGGCAGTGGGGTGAGGATGAGACCCCTGAACTATGTGGAGTGAGGCGAGTGACCGCCAGGAGACAGGCCACAGCTGATGAGGTGAGACTAGGAGGGCCGAGCGGTGGGGCTCAGGGAGCTAGGTGTGTTGAGGAAGGACCCTCACCAGCAGGGTTAAATGCCAGGTGAGAAGAGCCATAGGCAGCGGGAAATCCTTTGTGGTGGCAGGGAAAGTGGGCAGGGGCCCCAGGGGTGGGGTCTGCCTCATACCAGGCACTGGTTTGGGTACTTGCCCACATGAGCCTGCAGATCAGATAAGGCCTGTATGTGTGTGAGTGTGTGTGCGTGCAAGGGTGTGAGAAGAGGCTGAGAGGCCAGAGGCACAGTTCTTTCTGGAATCTTGGCCCAGATGGGAAGGAGAGGGAGGGCCGAAGGGTGGTGGGGTCAGGGTAGCAGAGATGGGGACAACCCGGCAAAGGGTGGCCTGCCCGGAAGGATGGTTGGGAGGGCCAGGCCAGGCCCTGCCCCGGGAAGTGTCAGGATGGGCTCTTTATTCTCCAGGAAAAAAGGGGTGCAGACACCCCTTTCCCCTGCTTCCTCCTTTGATCCTGCTGGGCTCAGGCCAGAAGCACAACTTGCTGGGGTGGGGCCTGGGCAGTGCCAGGCCCAGAGACCTCAGGTCTCAAAGATGTGGGTTTCCCCAGAAACGCTTACAGCCATAACCAGGAACAGAGTGGGGTCCTGGGCTCACAGGAAAAGAGGGAGGCAGGGGTGCTCCTGTGGGTGTGGCTGAGAGATCAGGGCTGTGGCCTGGCTGAGTCTACTGAGGCCATGGAAGATTTGCTCAGAGGTTGGAGGGCTGGTCTGTGGCTCTGATCAGAGAGGAGGGGTGTGGCTGTGCCTCTCCCACCCCTTTCCAGCCCCACCAGCAGTCAAGGGCTCCAGGGACCACACTGGGACAACAAGCAGGAGGCTGGGAGGGACGGCAGGTGGAGGTTGGGGTGGGAGTGGCTGGTGGGGTCTGTGAGGCAGGTCTGAGCTGGGGGGGGCTGCTGCGGGATGGGCAAGGGTGACTGGGGAGGGCAGAGAGGCGAGGCAGGAAGACAGTGGAGACGAGAGAGGGGCCGGGAAGCAAGCATTTCCTCAGCCTAGGGCTGGACCACAGGAAATTCAATCTCAGTGCTCCCCAAGCTGCTTCCTGCAGATAAGGGGGCCTCAGTCAGCCCCATCCTGCCCTGGTCCCAGGAGACCCCCTACCCGGGCGGGCCCTTAGTCAGTGGCCTTGGGAGGAGCCTGGGAGGGGGCCGGGAGGTCACGACGCCCGCCCTGGTCGCCCACTTTCTGGTCAGGGAGGGTCCGCCCAGGCCTGGGGAGAAAGCAGGAGGGATACCTTGGATCCAGACCACCAGGAGCCAGGCTGAGGGGTTAGTGGAACTCCGAGGAGGCCGAGAGCCTGTCTGAGGAGGTGGTGGGTGTGGGCATGAGCTGGGGTCCCGGCCATCCTGGGAAGGGCGTTCGCTCTGGGCTTGGCCAGCGGCTGCTCCAGAGCTCTCCTGACGGGTAGGGGCCTTTGGTGGAGTGGGGGCTGTTCTGGGTGGGGTCCAAGTGTTTCAGGGATGCCAGGTGGCTTCAGGGACACAGATCAGGGGCTTCTGCGTGTGTAGGGGTGGGTTCAGGGTAATTCCTGGGAAGCTCACGGGTTGTTTTGTTAGGGATTTGCCGCCAGGGTGTCCCACGCTGGGTTGTTATGTGAGGCGGCCAGGGTTTCTCTCTTGGGGTCAGGGGCTGTTCTTTGGAGTGTGTGTGGGGGGAGTCAAGCGAATTGGGGTGGTTCTGTGGGGTGCAGGAGCTGGTTCTCACGGATCAGGGCTATCCTACCGCTGAGGGGCCGCTCTTCGCCCTCGGGGGCCCGCGGGGTGCAGCGGTCCCCAGTGCTGGGGTCGTTCCGGAGGCGGTTTATCAGGGTTGGAGGTGCCTAGTGCGCTCCAAAGGGGCGGCGGCGCCTGAGCTAGTTTCTTCACTGCGCTCCCCCTCCTCCGCCCACACATCACCCCCTCCCGCGTTGCCACGACAACGCGTAAAACTAAAATTCACTTCCCCATCGCAGGTGGGGACTAGTAGCGCCCCCTCCCCTAAGCCCTTACTCGTAGGTCGCGCCCCCATCCCGTCGTCGCTAAGGTGACGGGGAGGGGGGCGACAGGCGCTGGATCTGGGTGGCCCTGGGGGGGACAGACGAGGGGAGGCCGGGCCTGGGCGTCCGGAGCGAACTCCCCGAACTCGGCTATAGCGGGGGAAGCCTTGCCGAGCTCGGCGTGGTACAAAGGCTTAATTCCGAGGGTCCTTGCGAGAGGCACGGAAGCCCCCGCCCCCGCCCCGGCCCGGGGATCCCCGCGCGCCGTCCCGGGCCTGGAGGGGGTGGGGGTCGGCAGAGTGGGGGCACAGGCCGCCACCCCCGGAAATTAATTCTCCTTTTTCTCTCCCCTTCCCGCCCCGGCTCTGGTCCTCGCGCCCCGACGCGGCCCCCTCCCCCACTCCAGGACCCCCGCCTCAGGCACAGGTTTCGGGGTCCGCCGGGGCTCGCCCCGCGGAAGGGCTGCGCGCCCCCAGCTGAACCCCCAGACCTACGCCGCCCGGCACCCCGCCCCCACTCCACGACTCCCGCCTCGGGCACAGGTTTTCGGGGTCCTCCGGGGCTCGGCTGCGCGCCCCAGCTGAACCCCCAGACCTACG